AAAAAAATAAAATAAAAACACTGCTTTCGATCAAATTTCCAATCTTTTGTGCCCCGTGCAAAATAAACAAACAAAAAAAGTGATATCAAATATTTATTTATATATATATATATATATATTATTGTAATTAAGAAATTATTGTTTTTCTTGTTTATTATTTTCTTTTTAAAAATTTTCTTTTCTTTTTCTTCTTTACTATTAGTATTATTATTATTATCATCATATAAAAGTGAAAATGTCTATAAATATTAAATGTAAAAGTTATTTTTCGTGACTATATTTTGTGTCTCCCGTGTATGTCATATTGATGTCTCTTCTTTGTTATACGTGTTATATCAATTTTTTGTTATATTCAAATGATTTATTATGTTTTTCTTTTTTTTTTTGTTTTTTTGAAACAACAACCAACCAACCAACCAACAAATATAAATTCATTAACCGATGATCACAAACGAACGTATGGCGATACTATTTAAAGTGCCCATAATTGAGGAAAGATCACACTGCGTTTATGTACGATAAGTTTATATACGAGTACTATATATATATATATGTATGTATATATATATATATAGTTTTAGGCAATCAAGTTATTATGAAAGGATATCACGACTTTTCGTCGAACATTTTTTGTGGAAATATTGAGAGGAAGAGAAAACTTAAATAAGAAGATGATGATGAAGTTGAAGATGAATAATAACAATATTAATAATAATAATAATAATTATAATAACATAATAATAATAATAATATAATAATAATAATAACAATAATAATAATAATAATAAAAAAAAATTTAAAACACCGCTCTAAATTAAATGTGTTAACACATAAATATATTATTTATGTGTGCGTGAGAAAAAGAGAGAAATGTTGTCATCTTGTTTTTTTTTTTTTTTTTTTTTTTTTTATAATTTAATTTAATTTTATTTAATTTTATTTTTGTTATTTTTGTTATTTTTTTCTCTCTTCTATTATTATTATTAAAAAAAAAAAAAAACAATTGTGAATAATAATTATAAAAAAAAAAATATTCGTTGATTATCAATTTTTTTTTTGCTTTTTCTTTTTCATGTTTGCGACAAAATCGACGTAGTTAAGTAGTTCATTTTACTGCCATAATAAAATGTCAATCGCGATTTAAACAAAAAAACGAAAAAAAAAAAAAAAAGAAAAGAATAGAAAGAAAGAAAGAAAGAAAAAGGAGATAACAAATTATAGTAATGTGATGATTTGTTTTAAAATAT